GCATGCGATGTGAGAGCCAGCCAGTATATCACCCGTGGATTGTCGAGGGCGAAATCCATATTGACGGTCATTCAGCAAACCTTCGCGTTCGAGCGCGTAGTTGTTCGTAGATAATGGCTTCCAAAATTCGCGAATTGTGGGTTGGAATGATAGTTGTTGGTATCGGAAGGCTTGTCACACTTTGGGGAAATTTCCCATGGCGTGGGTAAAGATTTGAGATCAGGGGACGAACAGAAAGTGATATAGAACATGGGCTAATTCTGGACACACTTTTAGGACAACGGGTAAAAGACTGTCCGGACTAGGTGGTTTACAACCATTCCAACCACAACGAGTTCATTGGAATGTAGGAAGGAGTGGGTGAATATATGGGGGTGAGACTGGAAAGTGTAAATGGAAGATAAGGTGGGATTAGAGAAAGACTGGGAAACGAAGACAACTGTTTTTCCATCGGGTTCACCAACAGAGCCAGTGGAATGACAAATGTGAGGAACGTTGGAAAGATGGAACTTAAGAGAAATGGCTCTATCTAAGAACCAGACTGTTCCGTTACCAATGGCGGACGAAGTCAGGCTCTCTGCCTTCTGGCGAATGAAGCGTTCCATAGCTCCATGTGCGGTGGGCGATCATTTGTTTCTGGCTTGTACGACGTTGGGTCAGGGGGTCGTCGCAAACGACGGGGTACTGATATTTTGAAATGTGCAGCACGGTAAAACCACTCAGGGGGTCGTGATTTTTTGGTTTCGAACAGTGTGAAATGTAAAGATACATCGATTTGAGGATAATCTCAGTAAAGTTTCAAGCAGAAGTAAAAACATCACATTTGAAACAATAGTCATTCCCTCGTTCATCGGTTGCGATAACCGCTCGCTGATTAGCAAACTGACTGACGTCACAGATCTACTAACTTATCACGTGCATATAAACACGTGTGTGATTAAACATACAGGAATCGTGGTTAAACGAAAACATAGAGGATTTGCTAATTAACATACCTGATTTCGTAAGTTTACGTCAAGACAGAGGAAGAAGCAAAAAGAAGACCGGAGGGCGAGGATTAAACTGCATTAACTTTAGTTGGTACGGCAAGTCCTAAACTTCGTTTTCCTTCTCCTGTAATGGTATTGACTGTCTCGCTGTTTCATGTCGACCTAGGTTTCCCCTTTTCGGAGCGCAAGTAATGCCAATGTATACATTCCCCTTTTTGCCCATTAATCGAAATCAGCTCCTTTTATGATACATCGATTCCTGTCATTGCTCCTGTAGTTTGGTGATAATTTATTGTTAGTGATTTTAATCATGGATCAAACCAACCTTTTAGCCCAAAAGTTTCTCTCGGTTGCCATACTCCCCTTTGATTCAGACAAAACAGATGAACATAAAAATTCAGGATCTTCCAGCCGACAAAATCATCCAAAGGAAATATGTTGCCATTATCTCCTCATTGTTTTCCAATCAACAATCTCTGTTTACTGAGACAGCCAATGTGATTTTCAATTTATGCGGTTCTGTGGAAACCATTTTTGTTCACACTGGTTGATATTCATAGATGACGCTGGTGGCGACGTGTCTTAATCATGTCACGGAATAGGTTGCAAGGGCGAGTGATGTTTGTCGAGGCTGGTAGTGGGTGGAAAAAGGTCAAGGGCGGTCAAACTAAGACCCGGTGTGAGGGTACCAGAAGACTGGCTCACATAGGTCCCGTTAGGCCCCCTGGCTGGGGACCCCGAGATCAGGGTCACCGGTGGTTAGAAACACTGGTATATATATAAATATAAATATATATATATATATGTATATATATACAGGTGCCAATGCAATGTTGTGACGGGGTGCAGAAAGATTGAATGAAAATGGGAAAAACAGATAACACGGAGAATAAATGCATGAATAAATGATTTTTTATAGTTTCACCGTACATTTTTTGAAGATTTTTTTGTGTTATGAGGAACGGGGTTTCGCCAAACAAACCGCACAGCAATCGCACTACTGACATTTATTATGTGCAATATCTCTCAGCGTCTCTGACTATCAGCAATCCTCATCCTTTGCGCCCTAACCTAGAAGGCGTACCGCACCAACCGAAACCAATGCTGAGGCTAACTTCTTCATACCTATACGCCATGCCATGGTCTGACCGCCACGGCGCTTTCTCCAACCTTGCCCAGGACGTTCAAAGAGAGCACTGAGAGGTAGTCGGTGGGCACGCATACGCAAAACTTGACTGAGCGATCGGTTGCGGTGTATAACGCTTTCTTCTGTTAGAGGACGACTATCAGTAACCAGTACACGACGACGAATTTCGTCAATACTCACTCGGTGTTCCCACCAGACACGAGCAAATGTTTCGAAGGCATCAGTGGTCGAATACAGAAAGTCAATTAGGCTCCGGCGCTCGGAGAGGCCAGGTCTCGCAACCGTAAAGCAGAACACTATGAACAGCGGCGATGTACACCCTTCCCTTAACAGATAGTCGGATGTCATGGCGGTGCCACAAGTGTCGCAGTTTGGCGAAAGTTGATCTAGCTTTCGCTATTCGTAATATGATCTCTTCCTCAATCCCAACTCCAGCCGTGATTAAGCTCCCGGAGTACTTAAAGCTCTCGACCATTTCTATCTGATCGCCAGAAGAGTAAGCGCACAGGCACAGGCTCCTGTCAGTCTTCAATAAGCACTTTGCACTTTGATGGTGCAAAGCATATACCATACCTGAATACCTCTATCGCCAAGTGGTTTAAAGCTGGTTGGCTCGTATTCTAACTGAAGAGATAAAGATCTTAAACGAACTAATTTTTAACCTACGAAAATGATCTTGTATTTAAATTTGATCATTGTTGCACATGGTTTATGTTTATTTTTATCCCATTGTAATGGGAAACACATTTTTTGACCGGAATGAGAGCATTGTTACCCACCTTACAAGTCATTACAATACAATAGAATACAACTTAACGAACCAGAATGTCACGAAAACTGTCCCAGTTGTCTGGGTCCTAACGCCAAAAGCTGCGCCTGGAATGAGGTGGTGAAACCGGGCGAAAGACAGACAGAGAGAGAGAGAGAGAGAGAGAGAGAGAGGAAATGAGTCAATGGTTCGATGAGCCAAGTTGGAATGGATGTGCGAATGGGGTCAAGGGTGTATGCGGGCGTTGACCACTACGATCGGGTATGCGTGTGGAAAGGTCAAGCATCTGACTCGAGTTGTTGACCACAGCACCATCTATCTGACGCTCTACCCTTGGTTCTCTACCTACTCAATGCTTTGTGTTTTGTTATCCGTCGATACAAATGTCAAGTGTCAACTGCTTAGACTACAGCGATGCATTTGTTAGTATTGATAGAGAATTGCTTCTTGCAAATCATAACGGCTGCATATTGTCCCATTTTTCTTATGCCTCTTTCGGGAAACAGTTTGCACGCTATCTCGGATCAACTTTCCTCAGGAGGAGGCTATCTTTTTTTCTTTTTCTCCTTACCAGCCTCCACACCCATCTATAATAACTCCGTCGATGGTATTAATTTTGGCTCACCCCACTCCGAAAAGTCTTTCCGCCAAATGGTTTTCTGCGCGTTACCTATTTAAGCCTTCGTCTGATACTTTCTTTTCTTATGGTAAAGACAAACTTCATTTGGATTTGCTTGAAAAGTACCGGATGCTATTCATCAGCAATACTCCAGGAAATATCATTTGGAAATTCCAATGACAAAACGGTGGGATCTTTATATACGATCCTGTGAAATTCTGCCTATAAGTCTGCTAATGGCTCCAGTTTTCCTCTCAATTCCATCTCAAGTTATATCGAGTTCCACACAACAACCAGATCGAATTTATGCTGCATAGCATCTCGTGTAAACACACATCGTAGTTCTGCAGTAACCTATTTTGCTCGCGTTCTTACTAGCAGGAAAAGGGTTCTGCGTGAAAGTTTTGCAGATCTAAATCGATATTACTCTATAGGTCTACTTCTCTTTGCTGTCTAATATACTTACATCCTTTGTATTCTAATTTGAACATATCTTTTTCGATCAAAATATGTATACAAATGCGTAAAATACAATACAATACTTCGGCGATCTCTCATTCGGTCTGATCTGATCACAAGTTTTTGGGAAAGTCAGAAGGCTTATATGCAGTTCGCCTCACGTTCTGTGCCATCCTCTTATATTCAAGCAGATAATTCTTTCATGTCTTAATTCTCCCACAGTGACAATTCTTCCGTGGCGTTCTTTCTCGTTATTTCATCAGGATATATATATATAACATTGGCTTGAGAACAAGCTTGGTGCCAACGCCATAACAATATTAACGAAAACAATAACGAGAGGGGGGGGGTGTTGGGATACAGAGTATAGGGAAAAGATGTAGCTGTCAGAATAGGGGATTAGGAATAAGTGGATCACCTAATGTTTATCTATGTGATGTTGTTAGTACTGCTGACAGCTCAGCTCAGCTCATCTGACGCACAGTCTCCTGGTACATATTTAGATCTGTGAAACCATTTCTCATGAGTACAAAAGCGTACAACGTCTTTGTTTTTCCGCATATTGCCGTTTTTCTTGTGTGATTTGGAATTCATTCATGAGACCAAGTTAATCCTGAGTTCGTGATGTGCTTTTCAATTGCTCTGCTATTTTTGACATACAGCCGAAAATGAACGTTTGCGTGCAATACAGCAATTTGATTTGACATACTATAAAACTGAGTGGAATGCTTCCCGAAACTATTATGGGGTCAGTAAATGCACACCGGTAGCGTAGTCTCTTTGAGATTGAGTTACCATTGTGTTTAGTGCTTTTCAACTTTATTTGTTTCGCGATAAATATTTTCTGACTGACGACAACAACAACTCTTCCATGATTATTCACTTTGTAACCAGATTGGGTAATTTTCTAATCTATAATCATATATTGTTTTCTTTTAAATGTTTGTTTTACTGTTTCAGTTACCCCGTGTCTGTGATAATCGGTGGTGATATTAACCAGGGACCCGAAGGATCCGCTTACGATGTACTGTTGGGCAAAGAAGTACCAGGCACAGGCAGTTTATCCCACCAACCGCTGCAAATGCGATCGGCTTATGTGCTCAAACCGGGCCAGTTTACCAATTGGGTACCGGATTTTCGTGCCGCGCTAGATGTGATCCTCTATGATACGCACAGTCGTTTGCGTTGTTTACATGCATATCCATTGTGCTCTGCAGAGGAGATCACTGGTTTGGATCAGCAGAATAGATCACTATTATCATTAACAACAAGATCAACGGAAGGATCATTAACCGAAAAGCAGGCGACAAGGGAATCCCCACTGGACCGCGGTGAACCCATCCGTGAGGCTGATCTGTATGCTCTCCCGAACAGTACATTCCCCAGCGACCATCTGGCTCTCATTGCTGACTTTCAAATTCCCTTGGACTCGAACAACATGCAAACCTGATTCTGCAAGCGCACGCACTGTTGGATACTTCAGTTAGGTCACGCGAGGACGTTATTGAAAATTGAGCCAAATCAACTGAAGTACTATGGATACTAAAAAATATTTATCATATGTATTACGATTATCACACTTCTGTTCATGGCAACTGACGAGTGTTTTTGTGTGCGTGTTTTTTATCCGTAAACAAACTTTTTCAGTTTGATCAATGAACAAATGGGAGAAATCAGTATTACAAAGTATGCATTGCTTTGTGTGCGTGGATGTGAGCGAATAAGAGCTGATGCGATCAGAAAGAGACAATCTCTCGGAGCATGCTACTAGACGCGTTCAAATATATCATCTTCCGGTGCCGAACTGGATGGCTCCATGGACAATTGGGTAGGTACCACGTGAAACTTTCCCACATTGTTTGCTTGGTGGCATACTGTCGCAAGGGAGATAACAGGCGAAAAGAGAGAGGGAAATATCAGTTGTATGGGAAAATGGACTCATTTCACGATCAACGTCTATTCATGTGTTTTCAAGCAATAGAGAGAGAAAACTGTGCTCCGGAACAGATTATATGGCCTTATCCTCAAGAGAAACGAACAGTGTTTTACAAATGAGTTTCGCCTTCTTGATTCTTTATGACTCACTTTCCGAACCCTAGTTGGTGGCAATATACAAAAATCCGAATATTCCTGAGAATAACCCTCTCGGTCCGAAGGTACAATATACTTTTTTGTCGTAGTGCATTTGGTTGCGCAGTGATTACTCTTACCCTATCAGCATGTCATACGTGACACGGAAAACCGTAGGAAACAGCTCGATAAGTCTCTTTCGGTTGAGGCATGTGTTGTGCATATCACCACACAGAATGCCTCGACATTCAATGTTTTGTGAATCAGGCAGTTGTTGGAAGAAGGTTAAAGGTGGTCAAATTAAAACCTGGCACGACCGAATGAAAACCTTGATCCCGGGATCAGCGTAGTCGGTGGTCAGAGACACTGAATGCTATGGTTGAGTGGAGCAAAAAGTCGCGCTTGTTTATCTCAATTTCGTGGTGAACTTGGTCTGCCTAAATTCTCCGTCTTCGCGCCGACACTGCTCCCAACATTCCAAACCTCCTTCCCTCTGCTGCTTCATTCAAATGGGCAGCAAAAAGCATCAGTTTCAATTTAAACAACTGTTAGGCATGCATTTCAGTGCGACGACTTTGGTTGCTTTGTTTTGACTGCCCATTTGGATGAACAGAAGAAGAGACACAAG